TGCGAATAAAATACAAATGTGATTTTAAGTCGTTCGTCAAATGGAAGTTTTACTGTGTTTACCTTAATAGTGATACTATGAAATACGTTATGCTCTCAACGAACAAAAATTTGAACTGACATTTTGTTTTCAGTCGAATAGTTCATAGTTCAGTTCAATCAAATTGTAATTAAATTTACTTCCAGCTTCTTGAATAATTTCATATTGTCAAAATAGACATAAATTAATATTATTTTTTACTTCTTTTTAACGTTCTAAAGTGATCGGCAATATTTTGAATTAGACGATTGTCAAAATTACATACTGTGTTGAAACGTTGTTGTTTTGTTGTATTAAAATATCTACTATTTAAAACTTTCAAAAATTATTTTTATTGCGTCGTAGTCTGTCAAATTTAAAAGAATAAAGTAAAACGTGTTTGCTTATTTTTATATTTTTTAAGAAACAAAATTTCTACACATCTTATTGAAATTAAATTTTTTTCTAGCCAAATTTCAATAAAACAAAGTAAAATAAAAAAAAAAAACTATTTAAGCTCTAGAATTTAGATTAGAATTTTAAATTAGCATATTAAAACAAGGATTGCGCATTGTATGGGATGACATCACTTTATTTTTTAAAACTAAAATTTCTAGACTAGTCGAAAATGAAATGATACTAAAATAAATAAACACACAAGGCAAAAATATTTAATTTTGCATAGAAAAGAAAAAATTGTTGATTTTTTTTTTATTTTTGTCTTTTAATTCTTAGAATTATGAAAAACTATTCAAAATACTAAGTGACAAATCGAAAACACACTATTTAAAATTTTTTTTTGAATTAATATGTGACAATATAGTTTTTACATATTTCCATAGAATTGTAAATTACCTATTTAAATATTATGTTAGTTTTGATGATTCAAATGCTAATGAAAATGTGCTCAAAACATACACACACTTATACATTTGTATAAGATAACAATTTGTTTTCTAGTAAACTTTTACTGATTCAATTATAGAAACGAATTTTACTAGCAGGGTGTATTTGAGGCTATTAAGAATATGCAGTTGAAAAATTGAACCAGTTTTGTATAGAAACCCTGTAGAATTATAGTAAACACAAACTTATAAATTTAAATATTAAGAATTTTAAAGTTTGGTTGCTACTTCATTGCCAAAAGTGTAATATTATTATATTTCTATTCATAATGAAATTAGAATTCGTTTGCAGCCCCTTGCAGTTCTTTTTTGGTAATATTTTCATCTTAAAGATCAATTTTCAATTACAATCTAATTATCTCCTAAAATCTGTCTTATAAAACATAAACTTGCATAATGTATGCGGGCATAATGTATAATACCCACACAATAATTAAAAAACCAGAAAAAAAAATTTCTTTTGAAAATGATTTCTTGCAATTGGTTTTTTGTATTTTATATAAAAGGGAAAAAGACACCCATGTGTGTACAATTAAAAAGACCTATAATTAGATTTAGAAAAACAAAAACAGAGAAAAAAGAAAAATTGTATTTTTGCTTTTTTAAAAATGCCGGTTCTTGTTATGACTTTTATCTTAACACTTTCAATTTATCTGTACTTGTACAGTACATTAAATATTTTCATACGTATGTTAGATTGTAAATGCTATACATACTTATATTTGCTGTAGAGTGACCATATTTATAAAATGAGAAAAGTATACGCAAATTAAAAACAGGAAATGTTTGCTTTGTCAGCTCTGTGATATACTCACGAATGAATTGTTTAATAAATCATGTTCTCGTGGTATCCCTACGAATGCCACCACCATTCTCAACGGATTACAATGGAAATATTGTCTCTATTAGTATATTTTTTTCTGCAAAACTATTTTAATGTAGTTTTGATGAGATATGATTAAATTGTTTTTGAAGTTGCTAGTTATCTAAACCAATGTCTTGAAAATCTCCAAAATAGGTTTGTGGCATTTAGTGCTACAAATAGTACATTTAGTATATATTGAAAATTAAACAATGCGTCGGACTAAAATATAAAAACATTTGACTACTCTAATTAATAATGCGTTCACATGGCTGTATATATAAGAATATAAACAGTACTATAAAACAAATATATCAAGCATATTGTTAGTTAAAATATTAATTTTATATGTTTCAGCATTTCAAAGTTCAATTGCCGTCTTTTGGATTCTTATTTTATATTGCCATTCTTATTTGGAATGAAATCAAGGGGAACATTTCAAAAAGATTTTTCATAAATTAAAAATTTTCAGCACTTTACTAGAATGTTGAAATTCTGAATGTGTAATAAAAATTTCTTATCCTTTTTCTTATTAATATTTTTGTTAGAAGACTAAAAGAACGATCATTTATTTTACAAAAAAAAAACATTTTATTTTATATTTCTAAGATGCTAAAACGCAGCTGTACTTAAGTTCACAATGTTAATGAATAAACGATTGAATACCAAAATAACGCACTCCATTAAAAATATGAATGGTAATTCAGAAATAATTTTCACTTTTTTCCATTATTTTCATCTTGTTAAGTTGATTTGAGTTTTTCAAGTTAAGTAATGTTCTAGTAACAAATTTATGTACAATTTATTGTATAACTCAATGACTTGCCCATAATGGTGAGAATATAATTATCAGAAAATTTAGAAATTTATTTGGATAATTTTCTGAATTAATTTTATTCTAATGTTTATTTATTGCGTTTGGCCTTTTCAGGAACTCATCCTCAGTAACTGAGATCGTGAACTGTAAATTTTCAAAAAGACTTAAGACATTTTTCTTTCATTACTTTATCTGTACTTTTTATCTTTTTCTTGTCTTTTCAATATAAAAAAATTTAATAAATTAATTCAGTTTCTCATTTATTGATTCCCAAATTTTCAAAGTCAGTAAAGTTTCAAAGCGTATAATACAATCATATATTGAATAAGGGTATTTGAGTAATACTTTTCTAATTCCCTAAATCATGAAAAAAACAGGAAAACTTTTCCGATTTGACATTATAAAATTGGGTAATAATGTACTTTTGAATTTTATTATACAAAAATTAAAGCGGCTTACATTTAATATATTATTAATAAACATGTTGATTAGACCTTGTCCTTTTAAACCTGTACCTTAACTAAGGTTAGGTTAATTCAAAGGTAATGTATACATATTACGTATAGATAAAATCGTATATCATGTCAAAATATTTTAATATAACAATAATTACCATAAAAATTTCTTTCGTTTCAAGTTAAAACTACGCAACAATCACGTAAATTTTAACATACTTTGATATTATCAAATATAATTGCTATATCCTAACCATTTTAATAACTATTGTAATTTAACTACATATACACAATTGAATTATTGTTTTTATTATTTTTTTTTTTTATATTTTGTGTACAAATAATATGCATATGACATCGAATAAATTATAAAGTTGAAATCGGTTTTCTTTTCCTATTTTTCGTCACTATCTTTATTTACTGTCTTTTAATATACACAAGTATGTATGTATGTTATAATATACTTACATTATTGTTTCTATTTTTGAAATTAAAAAATTCTGTCGGCAAAATTATAATCGTGTGTGTATATCACATTTAAAAATCAATATAAATTATAAATAATGGCATAAATTATCACAAATTTCAAAAGCAACTTGTGCATAATAATAAAGAAAGTGAGAAAAATAAATAAATAAAAATATTGTTTGTAAATAAAGCAGAAATTAATTAGAGCGAATTGTCAAATGAAATGAGTGTTATCTTTTTTAGTTATACTCTAAATATATAATGTACATAAATACGTACATACACAACATGTATGTAGAGCAATATAAATTAGTAAAGGTATTTCTTTAATAACTTTTAAACTAATCCTAATTAACAAATAACTACGTCGTTTTTAGCGAATTCATAAATATTTATATATTATGTATGTATACCTACAATTTGTTTGGTTATTATTAGGCAATACCATGTAAAATCGTATATAATTGCTCCATGTGCCCAATCGTACTCCTACTATGTCAAAATTTTAATACCTTTTTGCGGCATGCATCTTACTACGTTTACATAACGAATGACTGCAAAATTTTAAATCCCATCATTTTTATATGTAAACATAAAATATTGTACGTAATTATAAAATATGTTATGCAATTCCAATTGTGTTATTCAACTTTCACTTTCTTTGCATGAGGCAATTACCAATATTAGAATTCAGTGAATTCCAGAGGCATAATCTAATAATACCATAAATTATTAAAATGTTAACATACATACATATATATTTATATTATATTAGCTATGACAATATACGTATACGTATATTGTATATAATATAATATATGTATTATAATAATTTAATAATTCAAAAGTGAAATTAATTGATATGCTCGTAATTAGTAGCATAAATTATTATTATAATAAGTAATTCATAAATAATATGCTATGATCAATGCAAAGATAAAATTAATAATTACGTAAATATTTTTTATTTGTTTGCATGTGGATATTATATAAAATTTGAAATAATAAATTAAATTTATTAGCGAAAACTATTTTTGCACTCATGATAAAATAGGTATCCAAGAAGATTAAATAAAGGTATGCATATAATTTTGTTTTTTGTTCGGAGCGCCAAAGACAAATTTTATAATAGTAGAGTATCGATCTGTCTGGCCTCGCCAAACTTAAGATATGCGATTCACATATCTTAATTTTAGTAATAATTTTTACAAGTTTTTGAAATTGCGAAGTAATAGTAACACTTTTTCACTTAAAATATTATTGGAATTATTTTCTATAGGAATAAGCATGATATGATAAAATATGAGAATAGTCGGTAATAGATTAAATATGGCTATTCTAACTTAGTTTCCAAATATGTGAACTAAGTATATAAGTATTAAAATTTTATGTCATTAATTCTAATTTTAATTCAAAAAAGAATTCAATTACATATGATAGTATTAAAATTAATTGAAAAATTTTTTTATTTTTAGGTAATAAACAACGACACGAATTTTGGCAACGTTCAACACATCTTCACACACGAAAGCAAAATAAAAACAATTACATATAACACAAGTGGAATTTGAATGGATTTATTAAAATATTGAAAGAATAGTATCAAATGAATTAAAATAATCAAAAAATTAATACAAAAAAAAATCATCTATTGATTTTGTTTGTTAGTTTGTTTTAGTTCATTGTAAATATAAGAGATATGTTTCAGCTAAGTACGTACATATATATAAATACAATAAAAATCGCTAACATAATTAACATAATTTTGAAATTTACTAATCTTTTTGCTTTTCTTATTGTAAACGTAAAATTCATAAAAAAATTTTTATTTTCTTTTTTATTGTTACAATTACTTTGTATACCTTATTAACTCATATTTTAATATTTGAATTGAAAGAATTACTGACACAGTTCTAAGGTATTACTTTGGTATTTAATTGTTGATCATGTCATAAATTTATATCTGAAACGATTTTTGAAAAATTTCAAATACAAATTAGTAGTGTAAAATATTCTCACAGACAATATTTTTAATTAGACGATCTGGGAGTCCAATCGGAAAGTTCTTCTTTTGAAAATATATGCGTTATTCTTTGAATATTTGATTCGATAATTAATATTGATTGAACTTGAAAATGCTCATTGAATGTAGAACTGTAGATTAATCAACTACTAGGGAAAGTCTATTTACTAACGTATATATAAATTAATGTTCTTACTAATAAGCATAACGAATTTTATGCTGTTCCTTGACAAATAAAATTTATAATGACGTACGAGGGCTGTCCCAGAATTAAGTAGCCTAACCAAGAAAACACAAAAATTTTGACAAAATTTATTTTATATTTCTCAACATAGCCCCTTTTAGGTCGATACACTTTTGCCAGCGGTGTTGAATTGCTTCGATACAATTTTTATAGTAAGAACTGGGAAACTCTGCAAAATAACCATCAACGCCAGACTCTACCTCTTCATTTGTAAAAAATCTTCTTCCACCAAGCCATTTTTTCAAGTTTGGATAGATTAGATTTACTTTCAATAGAAAGTGAGGGGGCTAAATCTGGTGAATAGGGTGCGTGAGGAAGCAGTTCAAACTTCAATTCATTAATTTTTGCCATGGCGATTGCAGATGTGTGAACTCGTATATAAATAGCTAATTTTCGTTCTTTGACCGTACCGTTAATGACTGAAAGCAACTAAGAAAATATTTTAAACTTACAATTTTCTTTTATTAATTTTGATAAAGCAAAATTACAAATTTAAGAAACTCAACAATCAACAATCACTTTAATAGAATTCTATTCAGAAATTTTAAGATTTATATTTTCTTTGTCATTCAATATATTTTAAATTGCTTGTATTTATTTTTGCAGTATGTACTTTCAAAATTAATCTTCAAAAAAAAATTTTGTTTAAATTAATTTTATTCCACGGATTACTGTAATGTGAAATACAATTAATCTTCAATATATGTAAATCCCATGCATAATTGATACAATGGGAAAATAAATTTGCGTGCGGAAAAATATTATTACCAATATACAAAAGTTAAATAAAAATAAATTGAAATAATTTAATTTTCCTTAAATTAAGGGATTATTATTAGTGAGATTCTTATTTTATTAAGTTCTATAAAATGCCGTACTTCTTTTGTATATGATAATTTAAAATTATACGCTAATTCATCAAAATATTTCTCACTTCAATTGTTGAAATATTTTTTAGAGCAAAAAATTGAAACTGGGATTATGATCGCGCTAAATACGCTTTGTGATAATTTTCAAAGCGTTGATCATATTTACTATAATTTACATTTAATGAAATGTAAATATAATTGCTAATTTCATATTTAAAAAAATTGTGGAAGTATTTTTGTGATTAAAATTGTTATTTTTAATTGAAGAATAAATAAATTTAGTGAAGAAAATATTTTCAATTTTATTATTAGAATTATATTAGTAGGTTAGCATACAAAATCATAATTAATTCTAACAATAATTTATAAAATCCATTTTCGCAGTTAATGTACCTATTATTTCTTAAAATTATTTGCTAAAAAAATTCATGGCAAGTCATTTTTTTAGCAAAGGCTATTCGTTTTCTAAAGAGTAGGCGTTCAAAATGTTTTTTTTTTTCAATTTGTTCATTCTGGGTCATTTCAATAAAACAATTGTATTTTCAATTATACATGTGTGTATATGTATGTATATGGTAATATATTGATTCTTTTAAATTACAAAATTTCTTTTCTTAACTTTTCAATGCCAAATTACTTGTAATTAGCTAAAATTGTATATGTATATATATATATATATATATATATCGGTCTTGATAATAATTAAATTAATATTAATCATATACCTATGTAAGTAAAGGTTCTGAATATAATATTATATTCTCCTACTTAACAAAATAATTATTGTCTTTTTTTTTAATGGTTTTTCCAAATCAATAATAAACCCAGGCAAATAACGTGTATGTGTGTTTAGGTGTCCATTAATACAATGCGATTGTTCAAAATCCATGAACAAGCACTTGACTACATGATATAGTCGGTATACACATACTCGTATTTCCCGATTTATGTTAACATAGTATACTAACAATTGAACCTATATGAATAAAGAAAAAGTAAAAATTCTACATTCTGTTTATTAACATATTATGTTATAGGTAAAATTTTAAAGCGGATCCTTATTACAGGCCCAATTTATTGTAACAATCGAATGATAACAATACCTCGCTTACTAGAACTACATAATGCTGTTGTTAAAAAAAACGCAAATTTTTTTAATATTGACAGTCAAAGCGAATCAAAGAGAATTCAAAGTACGCATAAAATAAAGTCATACTATATAAAGAAATTTATTTAAAAAATGTGTGTGTTACACATGTTGATTGAACTATATAGCAAATATTTAATGAATAAAATATTGAATTTCACTTCGTAATAGGTTTTCGCACAATTCGCATACAAATTAAATATTCCACAAAATGGGAAGTACAATTAATTAAAACACGGTACTTAAAAAAATCAGTAGCATTTAATTAATAAAACACTCGATATCACCTAAAGTTTTTATATTCTGGGATATAAAATGTACGCGTCTGAGAGCCAATGATTTAATATTCGAAAAAAAAATTTTGTTGTGCTAATAGCCTAAATAAATTCCAATTTCCAAATAAATAATTATAAATTTTTGTTTTTTTTTTTTTTAATGTGTATAACATTATTTATGTTATACCTCGTATAACATACCTTAACACACCTTTCAATTACGTATGTAACAACTGTCTTTTTGTACTTCATATTACGTTTTATATAGTGTGGATTAAACGAAGCTTAAAATGTTTAGAATAATAATGATTTTTTTCAAATTTCCTCTTTTTTAATTTTTTATATACAGGTAACACAAGTTTTTGTAAATAAAATATGTAGGATATGCGTAATTATGTATATGTTTTGTATATGCACTACGACACTAAATATTTTAAACAAGAATAATAAGGTGGCAAGTAAATCATATAAATGTATATGATGCGGTTAACATTTGTAACAAATGTTACAGAGTAGAACTCTGTAGTCCTCCGCTAGTACTTTTGTTTGCAAAACTTTTTCATTCTTCCTGAGCTAAAGTTGAAAAATTTTCCAGTGAATGTGAAAATTTTAGTGAACATTATCATGTTTCCACTTCTCTCCTCAAGTTAACCATCTTCAAAGCAGTAAAAAATACAAGTTTTTGATAAGTTATTTGTGGATAGTAAATATTTCCGACGGGGAGATTGGAAAAAATAGCAAAAAATATGGTTGTTTTAACATCTCCAGAACTCATCCAAAATGTTGGTAATTATTAAATTCATCCATGAATAAAATTTTTTTCGTCTTTACTGTATGGCTTTTTCATTTTTCACGTATATGTAGAGAAGAACCTAAAAAATAGTAATATTTAATTTCAAATTACTTACATGTGTGCCTTAATTTAGTATTTGTTTTGAAAACATGTGGATGTCAAATAATAAAAATATTTTGTTGTTTTTAAAGAATCTCATGTGAATTATCCATTAATATTGTGATATGAATAATTTAAAAATGAATTATTATTCTCTCTTTTGTAATAATTATTCGAAGTTCCGTTATTTTCTTTAAAAAGAAAAAATTAATTTTATTATTTAACCATAATTAATTAACTTTTATTTGCGTAATAAACACATAGGGAATGTGATAAATTTTTTTCTGATATCATTAAATAAATTATGCATGGATTACAATGCGAATAATTGTGGATCGAACTACACTTAGTGAAAGAAATTGGTATAACACAACTTATTATTATATCGCAACGATTGAATATGAACGATTAATACCGAAAGTCACGAATAAAACATTTTTGACCACCAAGGTATCAAAAGTTTGCTAATCAAAATTTCGAAGTCAACTTATCGCCAAATAATGATTTCAAAAATTCGACGACTCCGATTGTGATCGCCTTGAATATCACATTATGTTGAATTACGTCTCGTCTGAATGAATGTCATCCATTTTTTCAAAAAAAAACATCATTAATCATGGTACGGTAATGGTTTTCACAAACTTATTAACATAATAGCTAAAACGCATAGTGCTTCAAATTAAGCAATTTTGTGACGCTGTTGAAGTATGAGTCAATTCTCTGATGATTTATCAATGATTTTGCAGAGTATGAAGATCATTAAAAACATAGTATGACAGTTTACCTGATAATCTATTCGTTAGTTTTACGGTTGCAAGAGAATGCTCTTTTATTACGAGTGTGTTTGATTAGACTTAAATTAAATTCATATTACTGAACTAAAGGCTTTTAATTTTAAAAAATTGCATTATTTCTTCTTAATAAAAATATATGAAGCTGTGCCTCATTTTAATTTTTGAGTGTCCAGAAATAATTCTATAATATATTTATAATATTTATAATTTTATTAGACCATCGCCACAAATTAATTTCAATTAATTTTAACCACAAAGTAATGCCATTAATTATTATACAAATATGTACATAAATACATACAAATATACTTATATGTACATGTATTATTATTTATAATTATTTATTAAGTCATTGTCCAACAAGGAAATGTCAAAATTTTTGTTAAAAATAATAAAAATTTTTAACAATTATTTATTTTCCCAATCAATTTTGTTTACTGTATTATAACAGAAATAGGAATTATTAAA